CGAGAAAAAGCCCCACTTAGAAACAGGTAAGAGAAGCTGAGCCCTAACCGGTTTGGCTCAATGGATAGAGCGTCGGCCTGCGGACTCAAGGGTCCCAGGTTCAATTCCAGTCAAGGGCATGTACCTTAGTTGCGGGCACATACCCAGTAGGGAGTGTGCAGGAGGCAGCTGATCGATGTTTCTCTCTCATCGATGTTTCTAACTCTCTATCCCTCTTCCTTCCTCTCAGTAAAAAATCTATAAATATATATTAAAAAAAGAGAGAGAGAGAGGCCGAGACACAATCTCACCATAAACTCCAACTCCAGTGCAGCGACCCATAGTCAGGAAGTCAACCTTCTCCCTGAGGAGTAAAGGGTTTGAACCCCACATTGGGCACCCCAACTTTTAAAACCTGCACCTCAAAGATAAGCCTCCAAAATATCTAGCTTTACAAGTCAACAGGGCTAGTTTCTATGATACGCACAGGCCATAGCAAACTGAGGAACAGCTCTTAAAGGACTCACGTGCGGTCACCCAGCCCAGAAGGGCAGGCATCTAATTTAATACATATACAGGGGCCTGATGAAATGCTCTCCAAGACAGAAGCTGGCTGGAGCCATCCTTTACTCTTCCTCCGCCTCACTCAAGCTCCCAGGTATCTCCCGGAAAGGAGCTTATATCCCGACCTGAGTCCCGTTTTTGTGGCTACTGAACTACAAACACCTCTAGATCATCTGGCTCTGGTGGCCAGGCAAAGCTCAAGCTCACGGGTCCCGCAGAACGGTAACAAATGAAAGATTTCTTAACCAAATAAAACTGGCAGGACACAGCAAGAGGCAAGACTGAGTTCCCAATCTTTCTGTGAAAGAGGCCCACTGGCTCATCTTCATAGCTGTGTCCTGAGGGGCAGGTTTCTAATTAAGCACACATGTAAGGGCTGACTAGCAACTCTCCAGAGATCCTGGGGGGCCGGCGCTAGCTTCGAGCTCTCCCTCTGCTGCGCTGCAGAGACGAGTATACCTCCCAGAGAGGAGGTTGTACACACGTCTGGTGCCCTGGTTCTTGTGGCTGCTGCCCAAGGGACACTCCCGATCACCTAGCATTAATGATCTGCAGAATCTGTATTCATGGTCCGATCCTATGACCCTGTAATAAATGGAGAGACAGTTCTTGGCTGGCTACCACACTGTGCACAGCACAGACAGCAGACTGAAGCACACCAGACTTTCTGTGAAAAAGGCCTATTTGCTTGTCCGAGAGCTTGGGGCGAAGGGCAGGCTTCCGGTTTGGCATACATCTAGGGGGCCTCTTGAGTTCCTCTCCAGGCATGGTCCGATCCTATGACCCTGTAATAAATGGAGAGACAGTTCTTGGCTGGCTACCACACTGTGCACAGCACAGACAGCAGACTGAAGCACACCAGACTTTCTGTGAAAAAGGCCTATTTGCTTGTCCGAGAGCTTGGGGCGAAGGGCAGGCTTCCGGTTTGGCATACATCTAGGGGGCCTCTTGAGTTCCTCTCCAGGGATGGAGGCTGGTCAGTGCCATCTGCTCTTTCCCCCTCTCTCTGGTTCCAGGTTGGCAGTATCTCCCAGGAAAAAA